TTTTGAATATGGGTGTTATATTAGCATGCTTCCAATCTGATAGTACCACACCCGCAGATAATGATTTCTGGAATATTAAAGTTAAAGGTTGGCTAATAATATCCCTCATCTCTTTTAATACTATAGGTAAGATGCCATCAGGCCCCTGCGATTTATTCATTTTGAGTTTAGCTAGGCTTAGTATCACATCAACCTCAGTTATGCATATATTGGTCATAGACGATGCTGTATTCGTATTAATTGGTGGTAAGTTACTTGTGTTCTCTATTGTGAACACCCTTGAAAAATAATCATTAAACTCATTTACTATATCAATTTCGTTATCAATTATAAGTCCCTTACTATCCTGTGCAATGGTCATTTTATGGACAAAAGCAGTTATGAATAATGGTGATCAACATCAATACAGCATGGCTGAGAATGAGGATCCAGAAGATTTACTAAGACCCAAATGATATCGCAGCCCAAACCATCATTGATCCACCCCCTTGTTGTACTCTGTGTATCCAACCGTCCGAGTGGTAAGCCTCCTTGGTGCTTCTCCATGCTGTAACTGTCCTGGATGTAGGAAAGACAGTGAAGGTGGACTCATCAGAGAACAATACATTTCACATTGTTCACAACCCAAGATTTGTGCTGCTGGCACCACTAAAACCGACATTGGGCATTAGAGTGACCAAGGGTTTGGCTTATAGCAGCCTGACCATGAATATTAACCCTGTGGAGCTCTCAATGAACAGTTTTGATGGAAACAGGAATGAATTGGGCAGCTGTGGTTTTATGTTTTTCAGACACGATCCAGGTTAGTACCCTGACATCCCTTTCAGACAGCTTCCTCTTGTATCCACAGTTACTTCTGTTGGATGTGGTCCATCCTTTGTAGTGGTATGCCGACATTACCCTGGATATCATACCTTTCTTAACACCACAAAGACCTGCTGTCCTGGTCACAGATGCACCAGTGAGACACGCACCAACAATTTGTCCTCTTTTGCACTCTGATGTCTCCCATTATGTTGTGTGGATTGCAATATTTTATGTACAGCTGTGTCTTCTAATTCAGTCTTCACATTCTGCTCTTACTGATGGAATGTGCAGTAAGTGAAGACTGGCCACCAGGCCATGCATATATAGGTATGAAACCTCAAACACTATTAGCCAAGTGTTTCAGTTTCATTGTCCAACCCTGTATATCACACATTTTGTATATCCCTGACTTGTGGCTGTAGCCTCCAGGATAGGCTCTGGACTCCACGTGACCCTGAACAGGACAGGTGGTTACAGAAAACTTATGGAAGGATGAATGGATGTACATTTTTATGTGTTAATTGGTTAACTTAAACATTAAAGTCAATGAGTGAAATCTGATTGGCTGTTGGGGGCTGTCATTGACTTTGAATAGGTTAAATTTGATTGAGTGAAGGAAAGGACCTGGGTTCGAGGACATCCACCAAATGTATGT